AAAATTATAAAAGAGTTCACTGGAAAACAAAAATTGTTCTTAAACTCCATACCCCCAGTTGATAAAAACATCATATATGATACTTGTATTATTACTCTAGAATTTGATATATTTTTTTATTAAAATTGGTACGAAACTTGTTAAAAAATATTCCCAGCACCGAAGCTTTATTTAATAATTTCTTAGTACTTGACATGAATTACTGCTTTTATTCTAATGAGTTATTTTCTGATTTATCAGTTAAAGGGTTTGAAAAAATTGTTTAAGCTTAGTATAAGAGTGGTCAAACACTTGGTTACTTAAATTAAACATTTCAAAATGCTATGTTATCCATTATGGTAAAACTAATCCTATGTACAGTTACTTTTTGCAAAATAACCAAGGTATAAATGAAAGCCTAATAAGCTCTACTAAAGAGCGCGATTTAGGAGTCAATTTTACATCTGACCACAAATGGAGCACACATATTCAATCAGTTTCCTCCAAATCTCTAATTCTTGGTATGTTAAAAAAACAAAAAATGGCTCTCAAATTATACAAAGTGATTATAAGACCACACCTTGAATATGCAGTGCCTGCTTAGACCCCGTAATTAAAAAAACAGACGTAGCTTTGGTTTTATCTTTTCTACAACAACAACAACAACAACAACAACAACAACAACAACATCAACAACAACAACATCAACAACAACAATAACAACAACAACAACAACAAGATATTTATTCTCGTTTTCAAATCATAAAAAAATATAATAATGATAATAAATGCAATAATAATAATAGTTTGAAAAAAAATAATCATAATTTTATTAATTATAGCATGTAAAAATAATCGATTAATAAATAAATATATATATATATATACATATATATATATATATATATATATATATATATATATATACATATATATATATATATATATATATATATATATATATGTATATATACACATACATTTATATATACACACATATACATACAGACATAAATATATATACACACTCACATTGATAATTTATATACATTCATGGTTGATATGGATGGTGTCACTCAAACAGAATTCTGATCAAAGGAGTGACACCAGTTTTTAAATATAATATGATTAATAATAAGTATACACACATAGAACATACATAAACAAGTAAAGTTTCAAAAAACCTTACTTTGATGATAATAATAAAAAATAAACAAAAAAGATTTTAATGATAACAGTTATAGTAATCATAATTTAAAAAAAATAAGAGTATGTTTTAAAAATTAAGTGAAAATCGTACCAATAAGTTAGAACAAAATTGTTTCCCGAATTTTTTTAAACTGGTTTTGTGTAAGATTAAGAAAAGATAAAGGTGTATGAAGCTGTAGTTTTTTAAACTCATTCAAAAATGCACTGATAGACATAATAATTACCATACTTCTGAGTTTTAAACGATGGTACATTAAATTTCCCATTATATATGTTTCTAGTAGAGTATGTATTTATTGTTCTACTTTCAATAAAAAAAGTCTGTCATAAAAGAGGGTAAATTTTTAAGAGAGTTAAATACAAAAAGAATATTAGCAATTTTTATAAGCGCTGGAAAGGTTGGAATTTTCAGTTTTTTAAAAGATTCTGATGTTTCTGACTTAAAAGGTTAAAAGATTATGATTTTTATAGATTGACATTGAGAGGACACCAATTTTTTGATGTGATAGTTTCCATTTTGACTCCAAATTTGGCAACAGTAACAAAGATGCAATAAAAAAATGCAAAGTAAATATTCTTTAGTGAAAATTTATCGACATAATGACGATTTATTGAAAATGCGTCGTTAGCTCGAGTTAGTTTTTTGCGTAGCTCATCAATATGAAAATTCCACGAGAGATTGCAGTCAATCAAAACACCGAGATATTTGATAACTTTTGAAGGATATAAACGTTTATTATTAATTTTGATTTTGATTTTGGAAATTTTGTTTAGATTGTGTTTTTTTCTAGATGATGAAAAAAAGTTTTTTTTGCGTTAAGACATATTAAGTTAGCATTTAATCAGTGAACAATACCTTTTAGGTCCGAATTTATGTTTTTACATAGAGAATTATACGATTTGTTAATATGCAATAGGTTTGTGTCATCAGCAAAAAGATGAATTGACGAAAAGCGAATAGAGTTTTTTATGCCATTAGTATAAATTAAGAACAAAAGAGGACCAAGAACAGATTTATTACTAGAATTATAACCTTTAATACTTACAAGTTACAAATAATAATTTTGTTAATGAACCGTTTTGCAAAACAAGATTTAATCAAATTTGTATTTCATATTGTGCACCACATCATATATATATATATATATATATATATATATATATATATATATATATATATATATATATATATATATATATATATATATATATATATATATATATATATATATATATATATATATATATATATATATATATATATATATATATATATATATATATATATATATATATATATATATAATTTTGTACATGAACCGTTTTGCAAAACAAGATTTATTCAAATTTGTATTTCATATTGTGAACCACATCATATGTATATGTATATGTATATGTATATATATATATATATATATATATATATATATATATATATATATATATATATATATATATATATATATATATATATATATATATATAGTTGTATATATATATATATATATATATATATATATATATATATATATATATATATATATATATATATATATATATATATATATATATATATATATATATATATATAATTAACGCCGAATATAACACAAGTTAACCGTTACATTTGGCTTTTATTGGCATTATATTTACTGTTATCAGTGGCGTATCTACGGGGGGGGGGGGCGGGGGCTCATCGCTCCGGGTGTCATCCACTTTTGGGTGACACCCAATTTATTAATATCTTATATTTTATTTTGGTTTATAATTAAACAGTCTTACATAAAAAAATAAGTGGGTATTTATTTACACGACCTACAAAATGCTGAATGTTGAAAGATATAGTTATCATTATTTAGAAAATATAATCGCTTAGCTTTCTTTCTTTCAGTAGGTTTGCTATTTTATTATTATACTTTACTATCAAATCAAATCCAGGTACTACTGTTTTTTTAAGCATATAAAAGAATAAAACTGATTTTAGACGATTTTAGATGATAATAATTTATTATTGTCTAAAACAGAGATAATAATTATTTGGCAACAATTTATTTTCAAATAATTATTTTCTTTGTTATAGACGAGAATTATTTATAGAGAGTTATAGACACTAAATTATTATTGTCGAAAATAAGGTTTAAAATTACATGTGTCAACGTTTCTAAATACTGCTTTAATAATTTCGTATATAAAAATAATTACATATAATATATGGGTGACACCCTATTTGCCGCCCCGGGTGACACCATAACTAGGAACGCCACTGAGTGTTATACTCGGCTTTATATTTAGAGCTATATTTCCTTTATTATTTATAAACGCATTCCATCAGTTTTTCAATTTGGAATGGTTATTTTGCAAATGCAAAATATGTATGTGCTTAAAAAAAAGGTCGATAATAAAATAAAACAAAAATAATTCATACAACAAACCTACTGCTTTTTTAGGCGAAGGAAACCGCTCATTGCAAAAACTAACCATATCAAAACTAATAACAGACCTCCTTGGTTTAGAAGCTACAACAAGCTTAGATTTGAGGTGCTTATTTTAAACACGTCAATTCAAACACATTTCAATCACAAAGTCATTGCAACTTTGTAAAATTCTTTAATTATAAATACTTAGTTTAACAGATGCTACAAATATACCTAGGTTTAGAGGCCATTATAGGTGACGGGTGGTGGAAAAATAAAGTGATTTTCAAGTTATAGTTTTTTGAAGAATATGTCAAGTAATTGTCGGTATTTTTGAATAAGTCGAAGTATTGTAGGGAAGTCGGGTATTTGATACAACTCAGTCGGGTGAATTTTAATTTGGATAGCTTTTTCTCTTTTTTTTAGGAATCAGTCAGTACTTTTATAGGAATCACCTTCCCCTCATTTTATTTATTGAATCGCTACCGCCGCCACAGGTTATTAAGTTTTTTGAGTGATCGCAGCTTACTAATAAAACTTAATAAATCAAAAAAGGTTAAAAAATTTAAATAAAAAATAAAAGAAAAAGTCTACAAATCATAAAGTGTCTTGCAAACTTTTACTTTGTTATTAAATTGTATTTACTATTTACAGTTTTATGCTTAGTCTAGCTGCTTGTGTTTTAGTTTAACTTTCTTGGTGAGGTTCCTTATTTGGTATTGACTGAGTTCTCACATTTAAATATAGTATAACTTGACGTAATGAAACTTTATAATATTTATCGTAATATAGTTATAGTATAGCAAAAACAGTAAATAAAATTTTCTTAGTAGAAGTTGGAAAACTTAACAATATTTACTTGTTATCTACGGCGGCGGCTACTAGCAAGGGTGCGTGGTAAAGACTTATGAAATATTAATAACTTACTACACTAAAAAAATCTTTCCTTATTTTTAAGGGAAAAATTAAGGAAATAATCCCCTAAAATCAGCACAGGTAAAGATTTCCTTAAACAAAGGAAATTGGCTTTTAAGGAAATTTCTTTCCTTAACAATCTTTCTTTATTTTTAAGGGAAAAGCTAAGGAAATAATCCCCTAAAAACAGCACTGGTAAAGATTTCCTTAAACAAAGGAAAATTGTTTTTAAAGAAATTTCTTTCCTTAAAACTATTTCCCTTAAAATAAGGAAATCCATAAGTAATGATTTTCTTAAAATAGTAAAAATTCATTCAAGGCAAAATTTGATTATTTTACGTACTTTTTTGGTAAGATCAAGACTGAAAAAAAGATTTCTTTATTTTAAGACAGCAGTTAGAGTAAAACTTCCTTACTGTAATTATTATTGTAAGTTTAAATCTATTTTCAAAAAACGTATAATCGATAAAAACAACAACAAAGTACATATGAATATTAATAACTGTAATCTACAAATAGTACACAGTAAAAATTTATAAATGTCGAGATCACAACTTAAGATTGGCATAGTTACATTTTAAACAATAATAAATATATATATACAGGACAACAACAACAACAAAATTTGTTAGTTCAGTTTAAAAAGTGAATTTACACTATATAATGAACTTTTATAACAAAAATTAATAGTTCAATTTTGTACTGTTTAAATTCTTTGCCGTTAACCATTCGTTTCCAGTCATCGGTAACAAAAAGATCAATGCTTTAATAGCAGCCGTAACCTTAGTCGTAATCTGAGCATCAATGAAAAATAAAAACAAGGGGTACTTGGCTAAATTAAAAATTTCCATATATATTACCTATTACCTTTTGTTTTGAAATATTACCTATTTCAATAGAAAAAAATTTAATTTATTGTAATATTAATAGGTAAAATGTAAAGCGTTAAATGCAATTTTATTCATTATACAGCAAAAATTAAAAGCATAACAAACCTGAAAACCGAAGTTTAGTTTAAACTTAACAACTAACTACTTTATATACAATTATCTTGTGGATACGTACAACTGATACTCCAACAATTAAGCTGCATACAAAAAAAATATTAAAAAAAATTTAAACGCAATTTTAAATTTAGCACAGCATAAAGTAATAGCACAGAAACCTGAAAATCTAAGTTCAGTTCAAACTTAACTATTTAACTATATTAACAGTTTAACTTAACTCCTTTATATACAATGATCTTGTAGATACGTACAACTGATACTCCAAAAATCAAGCTGCATAAACTACTTCAAACATTAAATAATACTCAACTTATTAAATAGTGAACATTTATTTTGTAAAATCCACTAAACTAGCATTAAGTTGCTAAATAAAGAAATATAGTTTTAAAAAGTTGAACAATAACATAATTTAATACATCGCATCTAAAACTGAAAACACAATGAACCTTTGTTTATACATTGCTATTTTAACACCAGAATTGGAATAATATTTTGATTATACCAAGCAAAAGCAACCAATAAATTCAAACACAAGAAGTTCAATAACTATTAAAAAAGTATTTTATAGATGCTCAAATAAAAAATGCAGGAAAATAAGAAAATTGTTTACACTGCTAAATATTCAAGTTGATACAATGTAATAACTGTAACAAGAGCACACAAAACCACTTGTATAACCAAATATTAAGGTGGTACACCCCCATTCTAAAAAATTTCTTTAAAATAATCTATACAAAATTAAAACTATATTACACAAGTTTAAAAAAGTATGCTGATTATTTTTTTAAAAATGAAATCTCGATTGCCCAACTTTTGCCTCACTTATTCCATAAGAATTGCCAAAACATGGGTGTAATTTAAAACAAGATATCTCCAGTTCTATATATCCTTTCACTCTGAAATTTTCACATTATGCTCCTAAAAGGTACAAAGAGGTTATGAACCAAAATCATGCATTAAAGATGCATAGAACATTTTAAAAGTAATTTTCTATAAATTTAAGAAAATTTTTAACAAAAAAAAAAAGAAAAAAAATATTTTAAACATACTTATACATGATATTTATTTGTAATTTTGGTTCATTACCTAAGTCAATTTATAACAAAAGCACCCTGAAAATTTCAAGTCAGCATATGGTCCCAAACTGAAAATATTGCGTTTTAAAATTTAGGTATTTTGTAAAAATGACATTTTGAGAAAAACACAAAAAACAAAATAAAAGTTCGTTATATTAGGAAAAGAAGTACAAGCTCAATTAAAAACCTTCACTATTATATTGTGGGTCCTTTTCCAGTTCTTTTTCAATATCTATGTAACCTTTTTTGATGGCTCTAAGCTGTTTTCTCTTTAATTTACCTTTAGCACTTGATTTGTGATTCATTTTTTAAATTCAGATGAGGTCCAATTTACGAAGTCCTCCTTGCATAAACATACTTAGTTCAATACCTCCAGCACTAATTACTTTTTCAAGTGCTGTGCTTCCATCATTAAACGCTATAATAGCTGAGTTCATACTTATCTCAAGAACTTTTTTCCCAACAAAAAAATCTTTAGGACATCTTTTCCATATTAAGGCATTCAGACTTTCATCGTTATTTTGAGTTTGTTCGTGCAAACATTTTGATAACAATGTTTCATTTGTCAAATCTGTAAATATAGGCATAAGTACTGCTTTAATTGCTAATGGTAAGCTTAATTTGGTTTTGTATAATGTTTCACCAGTTACTTTATTACTCTGCCACAAACACCAACTAGTTCTAGTTCGTGGGCAAAATTTGTGTCTCTCTGACTCTTCACTTATGTCACTGTTGTGAACTAAAACAGCCCAAGCAGCTTTTTTTCATTGCATAAAGGTTATTCACATTTTGACGGATAGCCATACCAAAATAATTTTGAAGCATATTTATGGCTTTATCTGTCAGACAACCTTTTCCATTTATTCTTTTTCCATCTGAAAGAAACTGAACTTTAAGTGTAACTCTAAGGTTACGCGCACAATTTCCAAGTCTCTTTTTGTAATGTCCAACACAATAAAGTCTGTTTATTTCAAAACCTTGATATGGATTACTTGCAACAACATTATTATATGCTGAGCTGTCACTGTCTCCAATATATCCTTCATATCTTAAACTATGCTTTTCAATTGACCGTTGAAAAATTGAAACAGCACCAAAAGCTTCCATGGATCCTGATGATTTATTGTGGTTAGCTTCACAATCATGATTTATTTACCAGTTTTGATAACCTGGTGTTGACTTTTTTTTTGTTCCAATAACTACAAGCTTTGCAGAACTTAATTAACAAAATTGAATCAATACATTTTCCATTCTCTCTTGATATTGCAGTGACAATACCATTTAAAGTTTGATGACCTCTCTTTTACCAGGTACCATCAACAGAAACTTGGCAAGCAGAAACATCGTTAACATTGCTTGAATTAAAAATAATATCTTTGGTTTCATTGGCAGCACTTGACATACTTGCAGAAGCAACTTCATTATAAATATTTAACAAGTTGTTATTAATTGCACTATAATTTTTAAAATTCATAGGAGATGGCATGTTCATTACCCCAGCAAATTTGCATATAGATTGATAATCTTTACCAATTTCACGAAAAGCAGTAACAACATGAAAATTAACTGATGCAGTAGAAACACCTGGAGTACTTTTAGATTTTTAGTTGAAAACTGAGACGTGTGCCATCCTTTGCTAAATGGACAACAAAGGCACTGTAAAGTTAAATAAAAACAAAAACCTTTCTTACTTTTTAAGTCATTTTCCAAACAAACTTTATTTCCACATTTAGGGCATTTAAACTAACTAACAATTAGTTTTAAAATATTAAAGTTAATAATGATATTGTAATTTTTTTGACTTCCAGATATTTCAGTGTTTACTAGTTGTCTAGAGCTTGCTGATAAACTTGGATCAGAAATTGATGAATCAAGCTGAATAAACTTTGAAGATTTTAGGTGTTGATTACAAGAAAACTTTCTTTTTTTAGTTCGAGCAATAGAACGTCCCATATCTTGTTTAGCTATTTATCAATAAGAACATTAACCAACTAAGACAGCATGCAAACACAATATTTTGATACATGTTCGCATTAATAGTTCAAGTTATAGCTTTTAAAATAAACATGAAGCAAAAAACAAACAAGAAGCTGCAGTAGAAAAGAGTTTTTGATGTTAATTAGCTTGACCAAGTTTGTTTTAAAATGCGTTGCTATGGCGTTGCTACGGACTTCTCAATCTACTATGGCCACAAAACACATAATTGTACACACTTCCTTATTTATTTATTAAAAAAATAATTAATAATATTATTCTATGAAAAATTTTAAATTTAAAAAACCATTTTTCAAAAAATTGATTTTTTCTAAAAAATTTCGAAATTAATGGGGATGTACCACCTTAATGTAAATACAATGTAATAAATGCAGCATATACACTGAATTTTATAAAGCACTTAAACAACTAAATATTCAAGTAAATACAATAAAAAGTAATAACTACAGCATGATGAGTACACAAAACGAAAAAAACTGAAGCAATTGTACAACTTTGTTGACACTTATATTCAACTAACTATACTCTACTGTTAACCATACAAAGCAACTTTCATACACCTACAGTGCTGATCACTAGTTAGTGTTGCTACAGCTGAAAAAGACGAGCTATACTATTGACAGTCCCAACCATTCTTTCTTTGCCAAAAGTTAACTTATATATTATAAATTGCAAAAATTTAAAAAACATCTCTAAACCGCTAGAATACTCTATACTGAAAATCCAAAACAACTTAAACATTTAATCCAAGCATTCCACCATTGAACATCCAGCCAAGGAAACTTTTCCGTCGCACACAATTCTCCCAGTGATCTTGTTCAAGGAATATTCTAGGTATAGCTTTGGATGAGCCAGGTTTTGTGGAACATCTATAGAATTGCCAGTGACGGGCTAAACATAAACAATTAGTACATGTATTGCAAATTATGACATTTTCAATTATATACAAATTTAAAATATTCACAATTTGTGCTGTTAATACTAATTTAAGTTAGTGCAAAGTTAGCGTTAACTTGACAAAATAAAAACTTAATAAGAAAATTCGTTGCATAAGAATTATAGGGTACTATCTGCATTTTTTATGTTATAATTTATAATTAAAAATGTTTAATTAATAATGTATAATTAAAAAAAACAATTAAAAATTATATAAATCATATTAACAGCTTATATATGAAAGAAAAATCGGTCGTGAAATTCTCACAACATAGAAAAACAGATCATCCAGGTCATATTTTAAAAATCCGGAAAATTGTTTGTTACTAGCATCGCTAGATGGAGTAGTAGGAGTAGTCACTTGCAAAATATTGATATCTTCATTGCTGACATTAGTTCTCGACAATAATGTGTCCTTTGTTATGGAGTGACATTCTTGTACTTTCTAGACAAACAATAGTAAAATTAAAGCAATTCACAAAATTGTTGTAAAAGTGCACAACAATTGATGATTTTGCAGAGCCATTACATTTTTTGTCCAGCATACATTAATATACTCATAAATTATTATGTTTGTACAGAGTCACATGAAATATAATACAATACCTCTTTCCAACATTCGCTTGGTTTGAGTATAACCACCGACATATCAGACCTTAAAACTATTAGAAAATCATTAGGATCAATTTCGCATCCGTCACTATCCAACACAAACTTTAGACTGCTATCTGCACCAATGTCAAATTTCCGACATACTAAGATAAAATGCAGCTATTAGCCTATTAGTACATAACGAATTAAATTTGTAAAAAAGAAATGTCAGAAAAGTTTAACCATAATTAACTTCAATCAGTTAATCTCTGATCTGTAGTTAGTCTACCTCTTGCTGTGTATAGTCTTTCCTGGCTATTTTGTTTTAAGTATGTTTTTATTGTCAATAATGAAATATTACAATTATTACTATTGTTCCTTAGCATAAAAAATTATTGAGAGAATTTTATCTCATGGCGCCTAAACTTTTGTATTAAGAAAGGTAAAAGTATGTAACTAATTAAAATAACTTAAAGGAAAACACCCACGATTCTCAATATATTAAAAGATGTCATAGTAAAAGAATGAAAAATAATAAACACAACAATATATATGTAATTTACATTTACTGTTATGCAAGAAAAGCTTTTTTTAGTGTTGACTCATTATCGCCGAAATTGTAATTCCTTATGAATTTGGTAAAAAAAACACGAATGGATAATTTTTTTTAATGCTTAAATAGCTTTTTTGTATTAAGATTATTTAAATTTGGATTTAAATCTCCATTATATATTTTTTTAATATACTGACAAAATAACACAAAATAATTTGCATAAGTACAAAAATGAGAAAATTGATTGTCAGCATGATTTAACTAGGGATGTACCGAAGCTGCAATTTTGCCGAAGCCGAAGCTTCGGCCGAAGCCACTTTGCCGAAGCCGAAGCTTCGGCCGAAGCCGAAGCTTCGGCTTAAGCTATACGTAATTTAAAGCTCAATTTACTTCACCACAGTGGTTTAAATAATCAAGTTGCTTTCAAAATTATATATCAATGTTTTCGGTTTCAATGTTTTGGCCTACATGTCCATTTTAGGAAAATTATAAAACAAAACCAATATTATAAAAAATTTAAACAAACTTTGTACAAAAATTTAGAGTCTTAACTCTGTATATCTAGCAGGTATAGGAAAGATTACATCACTAAATCTTAGACATTTACTGATACTTAAGATAAATTATGGTCTATTCTTTGAAAGAATTTATAAAAATGTAAACACGTAAAATGTAAAAATATAAAAGTAGTCATTATTTTAATTTGAACACAAAATTTGGTATTTGTTTTAAATTTTGTTAAAAAGTTGAATCAGTTGAACTAAGAAGCTACAGTCTATTATTTAGTTAATAAAAATTTATTCAATGAAAGCAGGCATATTACAATTTAAAAATGCAATCTGTTCTCCATGTTCGGGTAATAGTCTGTTTCTTTTTGCTTCAAATATGTTTCCAGATGTGCTAAATAAGCGTTCACTTTTTACAGATGAAGGAGGCGCGCACAAAACTTTCTTTGAAAACTTTGACAAATTCAACTTGTAAGTATCTTTATCAGAGGAAGTGTAACGATATGCACTCCACAACTTATAAGGGCATTCATTCTTTGGCAGTATTGGAAGGCTCAAGTAGAAGTTGACTTTGTCGGTGCTGATACATAAAATATAGGTGATAATTTTAGGTTTAAATTTTTAAAATATTACAATTTAATCAACTAAACAAAATAAAAGAATGCTGTTATCCGTCTTTTGAAATAAAAAAAATGGAGAATGAGAATAGAGATAAAAAAAATATTTAATATTTAATGTATAAACAATATAAAAATCATAAATAGATTCTGTTTTCTTACCGTTTTTCTTTGACAGTTAGAGTTTTTCCCATTGAACTAGTGTTTTTTTTCTTTTTTATCCGTCCGTCAGAATTTTCTGAATTTTGTAGAGCATACTCATTTGCACCGATTTGGTGGAACAAGCTATATATGCCCATGCTAATTAGTTTTTTTTTTTAATGGAGAGCCATGGCCATCAATATCTGAGTCGGACTCATGAATTTTAGATTCTGAAAATGAACTTAATGATTCTTCTGAGTCTGATCCACTACCTCTCGCTACACCAAATTCAATTTCTTTTACTTGTTCTAAATGAGATTTGGAACAAAAACGGTAGAACTCTAAATGGAGTATTTCTTTAAACATATTATGATTCTTGTCTTCAACAAACTTTAACTTGAAACGAGGATCAAGCATCATCGCGATTTTTAAATCAACATTATCCTTGTATTTTTGAAAACGACAGTTAAAATCTTTCTTAAGTTCATCAACAACAGTTTTTATTTCAGTTGCGGTGTCACAAGCGTAGTCTAGAAACTTTTCCATTGCATAGATAAATGGTATAATCTCTGATATATATGCCGTTTCTTTACTCATGTCTTTTGTAGTACTTTCGAAGTTTTCAGCAAGTTGCCATTGATTTTTTTTGCATTTGTTTGATTTCTGGTAATGCAATACAATGTAATAGCTTTTTTCTGCTCAATGAACCTTTCAAGCATATAGTATGTCGAATTCCATCTTGTGGAAACATCTTGAATTATGTTATGCTCTGGCAATTTTAGTTGACTTTGAATTTCCTTTAGTTTAGCCACAGCACTAGATGAGTGGTGGAAATGTCCTGCTAATGCTCGAAAAACAGCTATTGTATCACTTGCTGTTCTTTGTTCTCTAAATCTTTTTCTGAATACAAAGTTGTAAAGTATGTATCAGACATGGAAGATGTTTATCGCCTAAATTTGACTCTTTAATGGCAGCCATTACATTGGCTGCATTATCAGTTAAAACTGCATGAATTTTTTCATGGGGAATTTCCCATGATTGTAGCGCTTCATTTATGTATTTACTTATATTGTGCCCTGTGTGCGACTCAGGGAAGTGTGTTAGCTTGTAAGACATGTTTAACTGTAAACTCATGCGTTACAAATCTAGCTGTTAAACTGTAATACGATTGAATTGTGTGCTGACAGGTCCAACCATCACTAGTTAAACTTAAGAAATCTGCTTGATCAAGCTCATATTTTATTTTGGCTTTTATGGTTTCATACATCAGTGGAATGACTTTTGTGGAGAAATACTTTCGACTAGGTATTGTATAGTTTGGAGCTAAATTCTTTAAAATTCGGGTAAAACCTTTATCTTCAACAATACAGTATGGCTGCAAGTCTAAACATATCATTTCTCCAATAAGCTTGGTAATAGCTTGAGCCTTAGGATTATCAAGTTGCCACAATTCTTTTCTTTGCAAAATCTCCCGCAGTGAGACCTGAAACAAATTCAACGAATTCAAAAAATTACTTAGCAACTTGTAACTAACAATGGCCAGCAACGGATCTAAGAGGTATGTATCTTTCCCCCCTCACCAGTACATTTATTATAATATTATAAGCTTAGATAAGTTAAGTTAACATTTTTCTATACAAAAGATAATTTTTCGACAAGACATGCCCCCATTTAGTCACAAAATCATGAATACTGAATAGTAAATGAATTCAGCTACAGTTAGCTGAGTTACCTGTGTATATGCTTTTTGAAAAAAGGCAATTGTGTTATTAGACACACGCGAGCTTCCCTGCGTTTCATCTGTGGCAGTGCTGGTAATGATTTGCACTGATTCAGCAGAGCTTGTTCTATCTGAGCATATTGTTCGAGTAGTGCAAAATTGTTTTATAGACTTTTCATTTGGATTTGGTAAAGATTCGTGGTTAATAATTTTCTTCTGAGAAAGAATTATGCTATGTATATTGTAATGTACTTTTTTCAGATGGTTTTGTAAATTTGTTGTTGACATGTTGTGTGCGTCTTTACTTCCTCTAGACAAAATCTTCTTGCAAAGTATGCAGATGGCTTTGCCAACATCTTCATCACTCACTTTAAAATAATTCCATAAGGGTTTTTTACTTCGCGCTGAGGTAGCCATAATGCGCTAATGGATAACTTAAAGTTATAATAACAATTCTGAAAATTGAAATAGAAAGTTTAATTATTTTCTTACCTATAATAATATTTATTGAAATAAACAATATTTGTTCAATTTTTTGATTCAAATATTATTTGAATTAAAAAAAATCGAAGTCGTAAATAACCAATTAACCTATATTTGTAGAGCAGGTATATTTACTTTTACTAATGATCCAGCGTACAAAATCAAAAACAAACGCAATTGACTTACATTTCAATTTTGCTTTTCTGTGTAGTGTCTTTCTGTGTAGTGTCTTTCTGTGTTCTGTCTGTGACTTAGTAAAACAAACTTTCTGAATAAAAATTGTTTCGTGCGTTAAAATTAACTTATTGTACAGATTTTTAAAAATTTCGATAATAGTTAACTCTCTTAACTCTCGTGCGCTATGTTTTAGTTACATCTAAGTAATTTTAAATAAAGATTTATTTCCAGGTTTAATGTTTAATTTTAATTTAATATTAAATATTATTTAATTTAATATTAAAAAATAAAAACTAATAACTTAATGCTAAAAAAATTAAATTTTAATAATTTTTCATTATTTTACTACCAACTAATGCATAAATAAATTTTATTGCTAAGCTCGAGTGATCATAACTAAATATTAGGGTTATGGTATTTAATTATATAAAGTTTACTATAATGTTACAGTTTAAATCAGCTTATATTGAGTGATTATAAAAAAATCAATGTGTTTCATTAAGTAACTTTACTTTCTATCCGCTATCGTGCCGTTTTTGGCCGCCCTACACGCGGCCTTGCCACCTCCAAAAGCCGTTGCTGGATTCATTTAATCTTCGCAACTGTATAAATCAGAGGCTTATTTAAATTTCTCAGAAGAAGAAAAGAAAAAGAAGAATTTTGAACGTTCAACTACGTTTTATTCGGAAAACAGACAACGTGTGAACGTTTAAAAAATGTCTTCCTCAGTCGAATGCCAGCTTAGTATTGTCCATTTTTTTGCCGAAGCCAATGATTCGGCAAAAAACGCCCATGGCTTCGGCCAAACCGAAGCTTCGGCAAAATTGCCGAAGCTTCGGCAAACCGAAGCCGAAGCCGAAGCTTCGGTACATCCCTAGATTTAACAGCTAATGTAAAGAAAAAAGAAGATATAGCACAAAGAAAAATAGCTGACTAAAAGATTACATATCTGGGACTAACAAGTTTAATTTTTTACCCTCATAAAAGATGGAATGTGATCTTTCAACTCTTCAACTTGAGTTGAGTGCTAAAAAGCTTTGAGCAGGGATTATAGTAAATTGCATAACCATGAAAATGGTTGTCGAAGTAGTTAACAGTAAGCCGCCTTAACAACATAAATGCAATATTACCAAGGTAAACAATGCATTCGACGTAACCAAACTCGGGTATACCATCACAGAAACCACACATAACTACACTTTTGTTTTCAATTCTGTAATGACCAACCTCAATCCATTGTGCAACATGAACTGTTTCTGTTTTGGATAACAGAAAATTATTGCACAAAAACTGGCAAACGTCACATGGTTCAATTTGGCATACAATCTTCTCCTTCGTTGTCCCAATAACAGTGTGACTGCTGAACAGAGAGTGAGCAAGAAAAGCATTTGCTAGTATAATTTGAGATCGCTTTGTTAATGAAAACGCTATGTTTTTGAAACAATGAGAATCTCTCGAAATTTGTTTAAAAAAGTTATGCCGAGATTCAAATCGCATGCACCAATATCTACACGGTGGACCACATCTTATGAGCGCTGTAGGATAATGCACCAAATAGTGATGTTTGGGTGTTAAGCGCTTTTCCGGAAATAAATTGAGATAAGTTTGATGATTTTCACCTATTAGATGTGATAAATAACTTGCTAAACCATTATTAACCCGTGGAGATAAAACAATATCTACAATTTCCATGAGCAATAAAAGTAAATTCCAATGAGGTTCGTCACGTGGGACATTGTGTCCTATTATAAACGGCGGATTTCGCATTAGACACCAACATTCAGAAGCAGTCATTTTTGAATGTGTCAAAGATGAGAAAGTTGTGGGACGACTATTGACATCTGAAGAACCAAAACTAAATTTTGTCAATAACAAATCAAACTCGTTTAGAGATATGTATCCGCCATCTCTTAGTTTGCCTAAAATATCACTTAACTCAATAGGAATAATGCCTTCCAATAGATCATGCATTGCATCCACCGCAAAATTCTCCGTCACATAAAAGTACTTTAATTTGTTAAAAATGCATCCGTGTTTAATACCGGTATGAGACTCTTTATAACCAAGTTGATCTAATGAATTAGCCAACTCATCATATGACTCTTTAGTGCGTTTAACATTATTAGTCTCATAAAATTTTGTTTGATTCTCATCTTTAGTTGCCTCACACAATTTACAGAACTTGCGCGCATTGAAGTTTTCTAAGAAGCCAAGTAATGAATGGTACCCCAAATTATTAGCTAAGAAAAGTGCTAATGCTGCTCTTACTTTTATTGTTTGATTACATACAGTTACATCTATGCTGTCACCCGATTCTAATTTCATTAATGCGTTTACTTAGCGAGCAAGAATAATATCATATGTAAGTGCTTTATCTTTAGCATCTTGGGCATACCACATACCCACAAGAAAAATGGAACTTTCCTTTAAAAGTAGCTTGGAAGGTAAATTTTGCACCATCATGTACAGACCTTCCATTTTATGTATCTGTATATGTGGACCAAGTGGATTTGTAGTTTCAAATCCATCAATGTACAAATGTAAAACTAAAGCGTCAGGAAATTTAGAGAAAAAAGGATGTTTCTTGTATGTGTTAGTATTAAAGTAACCTGTAATGTTTCCATCATTGCTAGCATGGCTATTACAATTTAAATTTAAAGAAATATTTTTGATTTCAATGATAATACGTGCTAATAAAACTTCAATTGGAGCATATTGAGCAGTATCTACAACGCTCTTCATTTCTCGATTGCCTGATAAAACTGATTTATGACTCTCTTTCCTGACTCCTAGAGGTACGGGTTGAGGCTCAATGTACAACTGCTGCTGCTTTAAATAAGCAAGCTGTTTATGTTCTGTATCAACTTTGTCAACAGAAGTAGAAATTGTTTCAAAACCTTTATAAAGATTTTGTACACAGAAAGCATTTTCGTCAATACCTAGTTTTTTAAAAACAAATCGAATACTCTGCATTGTAAACTGCGTTGAATCTTGCAGCAACTCCTAAACATTCTCAGTTACAAACTTGGTATTTGTCAAAAGAACATTAGAACGTGCTTGCAACTTAGTAATTAATGCAGTAAAAGAACCGTGCATGCTTTCCTGTATACTTATTTGATCAGCAAAAACTACATAATTTACATTATCACAATCTCCATCAGCCATAGTTTTTTCATCTATT